AGACCACCAATTACTCATATGCAAATTCAAGCTGAAGCTGAGGAAAATTAAACCAAATCCACAGGAGCCAAAATATGACTTTGATTTCAGTTCCATCATAGTTTCTTAATTAAGATGCTTGTTGTTGTTAGGTGCTGTTCAGTATGAATCAATAGCCACGCTATGAACAACAGACCTGAACTCTGTCCTATCCTGTGCTGTCCACCTCACCTCTGACATTGTTGCAGTCACTGTCAGTCCATCTTTTTGTGGGTCTTCCTTTCTTTCGATAACCCTCCACCTTTCTCAACCCGATGTCCCTTTCCAAGTATTAGTGTCTCCTAGCAATATGCCCCAAACATGTGAGACAAAGTTTTGTCATCCATGCCCTGCAAGTAGCACTCTGATTGTGGCCCTAATCCTATTAGTCTACCTCCAAACTCAAAATCCTCAAGACTGACTAAATTGGCTTCTCTAAAGGGCGAACTCTGGGGACCTGGTCTCTAGAGATTTGTTTGGCTATCTTCCTCTAAGGGACTAGGTCATACCCCTTTGATGGTTTGAATCCACTTGCAGCTTCCAGAGAAGGACAAGCTATCTCCTCTTATGTGATTTAAAGCCTTAGAAACCCAATGAAGACTCAGCTACTAGTCATTTCCTACTGGACCCACCCAAGATAAGAAGTGTGACATCATAACCCGTGAAGTTGGAAAGCAACATTTTTCAAGGGTAGCTGCAGGATCCCGTGTGGGCCTGCACCTGAAAACTAATAAAAACAAAATAAAACTGCTTTCCAAGTAATATCTTGTCATTTACAAATAATAGAATCATGTACTAAAGGTCTGCACTAAAACTTCCTATCCTGTTTAGAAATTCTCAGAGCTACACAAAGTGGCGTTAGGCTGACCTTGGTCACTTGTGGGGCCCGTCATGCTGAGTCTACAATTTCTTTACTCCACACACAGGTAGCTCTACTAGCTAGAAAGCATCTTCTCATATTCTCCCTAACTCAGTATCCTGTCCACTTATTTCCATCTTGGCAATAACCCTACATTAAAAATGTTTATGGACTATTGTCTGATGCTTCATCATTCTGTTTACTTCACTCTATTCTGTGACTTTTAAACTTGAAAGTGCATGTTGTTATGTGCCATAAACTCACCTAGTGACCCTCTGTACAATACGTCTGAAGCCTGCCCTGTCCTAAGTCAGTCTCATTGACTCCGACACACCTACTCCCAGTCACTGAGTCAGTTCATCTCATCCTGGGTCTTGCTCACCTGCACTGTCTCTCCATCCTTCCAAGCACAATGTTCTTCTCCAAAGACTGGTCCTTCCTGCCCATGTGCCCAAAGTGTGTGAGATAGAGCTTCAAAATCCTTGCCTCCAGGAAGCAGCTTGGTTTCACCCTCTCCAGAACCGACTTGTTTCTTCTCCAGGCAGTCCACGATGTGTTTAAGACTCTTCCCCAGCACCACAATTCAAAGGCATTGACTCTTCTGTCTTTCTTAGTCATTGTTCAGTTTTCTGATGCATTGCAAGTAATTACAAAGACTATGGCCTGGATCAGGCACACGTTAGTCTCCAGACAGACATCATTGCTCTTTAGTACCTGACAACAGACTTTCTCAATGCAATTTGTCTTTTGATTTCCTGACTGTTGGTGCTAAGAGTGTTGATTGTGGAACAGAACAAGATGAAATTATTGAGAGCCCATAGATGGAATTTTATTTTAAGCCAATTATTTTTTTTCTTGTGTCCTTGCCTAATCAGCATAAGATCATTAGGAACAAAATAAAATTTGACTTATTGCTATAAGAGAGATTATACACCATGATTCTGTAGGACACCTTCGTGAAGCAAAGGAGGGTTTCTGCAAAGAAACATGGTTTTCGTAGCTTGTTCAGAATTCATTCTGCTAAAATTAGTAGCAGACCAGTTAAAGGAATGTTGAGTCAACTTTGTCCTAAATGTTTGATCTGCTGTATAACTTCATGATTTCTGACATCAACAGCTCCTCCTTTGTTCAGTTCCCTAGCTGCTCTATGTTCCTTGGGTTCGATGATTTGCTGAAAATTATCCCAGAGACTCAGACCGAACAGGGGAATGACTCGTGTGACTGTAAATTTGCAGGCCAGGTTTGCAGATACTGATAAGTTTTATGAACAATAAATTGAAAGTAAGCATCCTCCCCCAAATAGCACTAGCACTGAGGTCCCATGAGTTTATATAAGCATGTGGTCAGGAGGGACATCATGTTAGGAAAGGTGGAGGGACAGCGCAGGAGAGGAAGACTCCAGATGAGACAGACTGATCCAGTAACTGGGCAGTGGGGGTTGGTGTGTTGGCAATTAGTGAGACTGGCTCAGGACTGGGCAAGGTTCAGAGCTGCTGTACATAGGGTTGCTATGGGTTAGAGGTGACTAGACAGTACATAACAACAAGAACAACAACAACAACAACAGTACATTGATTGTTTTTACTTAAGCCTCTTGTTTAGAGTCAACAAGACATCATGGAAGACTTTGTATTTAAAAGTCGGTTGTTATTATATTTTGGAGGGACATTTTTCTAAGTGGTACAGGATTCTTCTGTTAATTTGCTGTACTGAGGTAGCCTGGGGTTGCTGTGATGTTGAACCTTGTGCCATTGGGGTGTCAAATGCCCTAACAGTTACCCATGGTGGACAGTGTTTGGTGGAGCTCCCAGTTTAAGACAGGTTTGGAAGCAGGAATAGCATCCACTTCCTAAACAACATGCCTCTGGAAGTTCTATGAACTATAAGAAACAACGATAGTTATAAAAATGTTTCAGGTCTTTTGTTCATAGGGTCGCTATGAGTATGAGACTTGCTTGACTTGATGGCATTCAACAACTAGTAGAGTGGGACATGTATCCCATCCTTATCCTCTCTCCTTAATATATTAAATATGTCAGCACAAAATAAACAGTTAATTATTGGCAAGGAAAGACAGTTTGAAGGATAAACTTTAGTTAGATACTTAGAATGGCTCAAATTAGAGCAGAGCTGTGTGTCAAGACACAGGTCAAGATTAAGTTCCAAATACAAAATGAACCAACGGCCTTATTTCCTTAGAAAGAGCAAAGTGGCAAACAATAAATGCTGACGAGGTTGTGGAGAAACTGGAACCCTTATTCACTGTTGGTGGAAGTGTAAAATGGTGCAGCCACTATGGAAGGCAGTATGGCACTTTCTCAAAAAGTTGGAAATAGAGATACCATTTGACCCAGCAATTCCACTACTGGGAGTACACCCCAAAGAGACCATAACTGCCACTCAAGCAGATATATGCACACCCATGTTTATTGCGGCTTTGTTCACAATAGCAAAGCGTTGTAAACAACCTAAGTGCCCATCAACAAATGAATGGATAGAGAAGCTGGGGTATATTAGCACAATGGAATACTACACTGCAATGAAATACAAGGAACTCATGAAATATTACTCAAAATGGGTGACTCTGGAGAACATTATGCTGAGTAAAATATCTCAGTCCCAGAAGGACAAATACTGCATGGTGCCACTGTTGTAAAATGGGACTGACATTGGGGTTGGGAGGAGACTGAGAAACATGGGATAAAGAATGTATATTGCATTGAAACAAATAAGGGACAGAATTTAAAAGGGATGTGTGATTAGGTATTATTGTCATGACAGGAGTCTAGAACATAGGCTGCATAGTGGAGTGGACCTCGGGGGAGGGATTATATAACAATGAAAGAATTTTTCTTTTACTTTTCAAAGAGAAGAACTAAGGGGGAAAGGGGTGGGCAGGGAGAAAGGTGCAACAATGAATGAATGGAAATACAAAGTCTGTAAATATTCATGAAAATTAATAATAGTAATAATAAAAATATTTTTTTAAAAAAGAATGAGCAAAGTGCTGCAAAATATTTTATCCAGAAACCTCTGCAGATGCAGAATCAATAGAGGTTGAGTCTCTTGTGTCAACATTTCTGCACATTTCCAGCAAAGGCGGGCTATTTCATTGTTACTGAAAGAATTTCAAAGAGTAAAATCCCTCTAAGTTTATAATCTTAAAGAACATAGCTCCACTATCTTTAGGCACTTTGCACTTTTACTGCATTCTCTGGGGTAACCCAGGCTTCTATTAATTTTTCAGAGGTGGTGAATAATACAGGAGGAGACTGCCTTTCTTTGTCTCATGGAGCAGCTGGTAGGTTTGCACCATGCACCTTTGCATTGGGAGCTCAGTTCATTACCACAAAGCCCCTAGAGCTCTCTACATTTAGGGGCTAATTACATGGTTTTGCCCTGGTTTGATTCCTTCTTCCTCTCAGTCTGTGAGTACTTCTGGTGGATGAAGGCAGTTCTTCCTTATAAGGCTATCAGACCGAATGCAGAAATGAAAAAGGGGATGGTTCCTCCTGTACTTCAGCAACCTTAGTTGTCTTTTACAGAGAATTCTGAGAAATGGCCCAAATAAGAGGTTATGATACTTCAGGCTGCATGAAACAGGGATAGTCAATATCAATGCGGTTACAAAGGCTTTTGGGTCCGGGGACATCACTAATTATGGGATACCACCCATGCATAGTCTCTATAAGCACTAGTTTGAGTCCTGTTCCAGCTGAAGTCCTGTTGAGTACTATACTGCTGCTACTTCTAGAGAAAGTCAGTGATCCTAGGCTGATACTGTGCATGCGTAAGGAATCCATTTAAGCAGGTTTGGTTGGGAAAGCAACTTAAGAGCAATTAGATGCGCATTGCAATAGGATGTAGGCATGGCTTATAACTTGGTTTCACCCTCTCTAAGACAGACCTATTTGACTTTTTTGGCAATCCGTGGTATTCAAGACTCTTCTCCAGCTCCACAACTCGAAAACATCCGTTCTTCTTCTCTCATCCTTAGTTATTATCCAGCTCTCTGATGCATAGCAAGTAATTGTGAAGACCATGGCCTGTATCAGACACACCTTAGTCTCTAGACTGACATCGTTTCTTCTCAATACTCTGGAGAGGTCCCTAACAACAGATTTTCCCAGTGCAATTTCTCTTTTGATTTCCTGACTGCCAGTGCCAACCAAGAGTGTTTCTTCTTGAAGGCTAGGATTTTAAAATTCCGTCTCATATAGTTTGGGCACGTGGCCAGGAGGGACCGTCCTTGGAGAAGGACATCATACTTGGAAGGGTAGAGGGACAGGGCAAGAGAAGAAGATCCAAGATGAGATGGACTGACACAGTCACTGGGGTATAGTGGGAGGTATGCTGGAGTCAGTGAGACTGTCTCAGAATAAGGCCGGCTTTAGAAATGTTGTACAGAGAGCCGGCGACTCTACAGCACGTAACAACAAACAACCTGACTTATTAGGGGAAAACATCTGCCTTGTAGTTTGACCTAATCAAATACCTTCCTGAGATCTGGCTGAGGATAGGTCTTTCTAAGATTTGAAGAGCAACACAAGAAGTCATTTTGCATTGGAAACTATTTATCAGCAGCCTTTTAGTCAGTTTTGAAAAACAAGGCTTGGGAACACCAGTCTTTGTGTTCCAGTCGTCTTGCGTTATTCCGGCCTCTTCCAGCCGCTCCGCTCTGACCACGGACCCACAAACCCCTCCAGCAGGTGGCGCCGGCTCCCGCGCTGCTCTCCCAGACCCGCTGGGGCGCTCTAGCCGAGCCGCGTCTCAATGACGCTTCCTTCCGCTGTCGAGACCGCCTCTTCGCACGCCGCCGCTCGCACCTGCTGGTTTCTGTGAGGAGGATGGCGTCATCCTCGCATTCGGAGAAGGAGAAGGAGCGTCCAGGGGGCGTCCCCGGCGCAACCGGCGGAAACAGCACACGAGAGCGGCTGCTCTCTGCGCTGGAAGATCTGGAGGTCTTGTCCAGGTAAAGCCGCCGGCCGAAGCTGGGCCCGACCCCGCGTTCGCCTTCGTCGTCGAGGCTGGGGTGGGGGCGGGGCGGGCCGCGCTCGGGAGGTTGTGACGCACTAAAGCCGTGGCCTTGTCCGCAGCCCTCTGAAACCCCGAAGCGACATTTCCTCACATTTTAGAAATCGTGAACCCCTAAGGCCGTGAGAGCCGTAGCGGACTTTGGCGCGGCTCCTCGGTCCTCGAACATGGACTAACGGGGGACCCACCTCCTGAGGGCGGGGTGCCTCGGACGTCCGGGCGCGGAAAGCCCTCCAGTTCTTGGAGAAATCTTCCTTTACTTTTTTAGTGTCTTTTTTACTTATCTCTGGTGTTTTTCCTTTTCCCATCAATTTGGTGATTGGTTTTCCCCGTATCTTTGAAGAAGAAGCATGATACCTGAGTAGAGATAATATTGTATTTATAGTTTGTTTTTGGCGATACCGTCATTTTTATTAAGATTTATAATCCAAGATTTTAGTGTGTTTCTCCTTTTAGGTGGGTCTGTTTTGAGTTCCTTTTCGGTGTTGCTGTATATGTACTATTGAGTGGGAACAGATCTCATAGCCTGATCCACCACTGGGGTTTCAGAGGCAGTAAATTGGATGCAGCTGGTGGATTCGAACTACCTGCCTTTGTGACTGAAGTGCAGCTGCTTACAGCTATGCCACCAGCGCTCCCTTTGGTTCTTTGTAGTACTGTTCTGTCGTTTTCTTTGTAAAGGTCTTTTGTATCTGATTAGATTTATTCCTGAATACTTCCATCTATGAGTTGCTGTTGTAAAAAGCACCGTTTTCCTTATTTAACGCTCAGAGTTCTTTGTTAGCATAAAGAAATTGTGTTGGTTTCTGCATATTGATCTTGTACTCTGCTTCTTCATTAAAGTGTGCGATTTAAGGGGAGCTCTGGTGGCCTAGTGGCAAGAAGCTGTACTGCAATCCCAGAGGCGCAGGGTTCAAATCCACCAGGGAAAGGAGGGACAATCTCTTGTACCAGTCAGATCCGATTTGACGGTACACACACACACACAATTATAAAATTTAAAAAAAAAAAAGTGTGCGACTTAAGCCCAGTAATTCAGAAGATCATAACATCGCACATAAGTCTGGACAAAGAAAGCCAAAGAGAAGAATGAAGAATTCAGAATTCAAACACTGATGGCCTTGCCTGCACCTGATAAGAAGAGCAAACGGCCTCGCCGGCCTAGCTCGGCTACCAGGTGGACCTTAAAAAATGGATCCAAAACCAGGAGAAGGTAAAATCGATGAATGGGGCCTTCTAACAATCAAATCTCTATGCACATCCAAAAACTTCATCAACAGAGTAAAAAGGGGAGCTACAGACTGGGAAAAAGTATTTGGTAATGACATGTCTGATAAGGTACTTATATCTAGAATTTATAAAATACTTGAGCATCACAACAATATAAGGGGAAACAATTCAATTGAAAAATGGGCACAGGACATGAACAGACACTTCACCAAAGACGACATTCAGATGGCCAGTAGCACATGAAGAAATGTTCAAAATCCCTAGCTCTAAGAGAGATACAAATCAAAACAACTATGAGATATCATCCCACCCCAGTCAGAATAGCAAAATTTAACAGAACAGCAAGCAACAAATGCTGGCGGGGTTGTGGAGAAACAACCTTATCCACGGTTGGTGAAAGTGTACAATGGTGCAACCTCTGTGGAAAATGTTGTGGTGCTTTCTCAGAAAGTTGCAAATAGAGATACCATTTGACCCAGCCATTTCACTACTGGGAATGTACCTTAAAGATACCATAACTGACATCCAAGCAGATATATTCCTACCCATGTTTATC